GTCATCCCTTCATCAGGACTCTCCCGCAGGAATTGCTTGTCATAGATTCTGTCTCAGAGCCATAACATGTTGATTTCTGTTTATAATCACTAAGTTGAAGAGCCTATTCCAGACTGAGGGTGACTCATGAGACCTTTTAATACTCAAGATTAGTGTGATGGAAGACTGGCATACCTATGGAAGCAGGCAGGTGTGTACACCAAGAGTAAAAATTGGAGGCCAGAGGGACAGGGGAGGTTGGAGTGTTTGTGTCTCATGATCCTGGGGTTCAGTAAATGGGAAGCACACAGGAACAGAAACGACAAGTCTGTGTCCCCAGACTCCCTTATTACTCGTTTCCTGCCCATACCCTCCTCACCAGGCTTACAGACCCTAAGCTACTTAAGGACCGTATTTATTGAATTCCCCCTCAGATTCCTCAAAACCGTTCTCTGATTTTCATTTTGGCAATTTAAGTTAACCCACAATTGCTGAGGCAGTTCCTACCTAAGAGAAAACTTGACTCCTCCTCTAAGATTTCCTTCTAGAGAGTGCCATTTCTGAGGAAGATTCGGTGACCATAGCTTTTGTGGGTAATAGGAGAGGTAAGGGAGGGAGGACAGTTCACAACTCTTACGTCCAAAGATTATACAGTTATCATTAGTGGGGTCAATCACAAACCTAAAAAGACCCTGCAAATGGATAGTGAGTTGAGCTGCCTTTTCCTATAGGTGACAATCAGATGGCTTAATGTTTTAATAAATATCATGTTTCCTGATTGTGAATTGTATAACTATTCATAATAAAGAAAATATAAATCACCACAATCCCATTACCGATAGACACTGTTAATTTTTGTACTTCCTATTAGTGTTCTTTTCCCCCTAGCTTTAATATTTTGGGGGAATTTCTTGTTTAGTAAATAATTTTTACATATATACTTTGACTATATACTCAAACTGTTTATTATAATGCAAGATGCAATAAAATTTGAGTTTTAAAGATTTGCTTTGAAATTAATTCATTTAGGAGTAGGGGGCACAATCACAAGTGGAACAATGGTAAGAGGGTGGGGAAGGGGCTGTGGGAAGAAGTCAGGGAATCGGAGTTCTCAGTTTCTATCCCTTGGGTCAAAAAGTGGGAAACTGTGAGTGTTGGTCTTGGGGCTGCTGTTCATCAGGTGAAGTCAAAATTGAGGGGGCATCAGGGATTGAGTTCTTGAAAAGCTTAACATGGGAATGAGTAGTCTCTTTAAAGAGCTGTCTCCAGCCTTGATGGCACCAGGGACTGGTTTCATGGAAGACAGTTTTTTACATGCATAGGGGTACATACCTGACAGGAGGCAGAGATCAGGTGGTGAAGCTAGCAATGGGGATAGGGGCTGGTTTCATGGAAGACAATTTTTCCACAGATGAGTTAAGGAGGAATGATATCTGACAGGAGGTGAGGCTCAGGCTAGTTCTTACTTCCTTATCTATAGTGAGAAATAACTGATACGTATATACAAAGACCTTAACAGGTACCCATTACATTCCTTAGTGACATATGCAAAAATGCTCTTAGTTTCTTTCTCAGGAGGTGGCATGAGTGATGGGAAGCATCTGTGAACACAGCCAAAGCTTCACTTGCTCACCCACTGCTCACCTCCTGCTGTGTGGCCTGGTTCCTAACAGGCTGTAGACTGCACAGCCCAGGGATGGGGCACCAGAGTCTAAACAGATACATACCCAACATACACCAGACTTAGGATTCTTCCTTCCCTTTGGTGGTGGTGGTGGTTGGGTATCGTATGCACCAGACAGAAACCCTCAGTGCTAACTGCAGAGGATTGTGGACTGGGCAAGGGACCTGCCACGACCTTCCCCTTCTGGTCTAGCAGTTCCTCAATATACACATGAGCTTGGAGAAACCATTAGGGAGGAAGAGAGAGGTAGGAAGCTGCTATTGAGCACTCTGCCTAAATTGCACATCGTCTTTTTTAAGCCATTAAGCAGCGTTTATAGCAGACATTGTTAGCCCAGCCCTGAGCAGAATGCAAACATAGGAATTGCTTTTCTTCCAGGCAAGGCTGATGAAGATGAGGACAATTTCCTTTGACATCACCTTATATTGGTGCCCTGTCCATTTCATAAAAACAGAATGTTGATGCTTTGACCATAAGAGATCATCTACTTGAAATCCTTTAAAGTGAGGGTCTAAGGTTAGAGGTTACTTCTATCTGCAGAATTCATGGAAAGCTCTATTGAAGGTCTCCATTTCAAGGTTTTTCTCAACTGTAAACCTCCTTCAGGTGTGTAACTTCTATTTGCACTGGGATGTGTAATTTGTAGACATTTTTGTACACCATGTATGAGACAGATAAGTCTACTTGTTATCATTTCACCAGTGATGAAATCGTGATCAACGTTAACAAGTTAGTTACCATCCTGAGACTTCAAAGGGAAGAGATGCTATGCAAAGTAAGTGCTTTTCTTAGTATTTTCTCAACTGTCCTGGGCTTCCATTTACTCTTCCTCCGTAACTTTAAGAGTGTTAGATATTTACTACAGAAAGATTTGGAAAATACAGAAAAGCACAAGAAAAAATTAAATCATCTATAACCTTAGTACCCAGAGATAAATAGTACTACATATTAACACCTTATCTATTTTGAATATTTTTAATGCATAAATATATATTTTACATGGGATTATATAGTACATATTTAACAATTTTACTTAACATATATCATGAATGCTTCATTTAATATTAATCATTAAGTTTGAAAAGATTTTGTGTACATTCACAATGGTTTCCTCCTAAGTATACATTTCCAGGTATAATTTCAATCAAAAGGCAAAGCTTAAGGCTTCTGGTACTGATAGCCAGAGATACCGTGTTTCCCTGAAAATAAGACACTGTCTTTTATTATTTCTCAAGAAGACACACTAGGGCTTATTTTCAGGGGGGTGTCCTCTTTGCTGAAATGCAGGGCATAGCCATGCCCATCACTAGGTCTTATTATCTGGGTAGGGCTTATATTTAACAAATGCATAGAAATCCTGCTAGGGTTTATTTTTTGGGTAGGTCTTATTTTTGGGGAAACACGGTAGTATGTATTCGCATCTCACCAGTAGCATTAAAGGCCCAATTTCCCTGAATCTTTGTCAGTTTTATAAGGAAAGGAAGTACATCTCAACTCTTGCTTCAATATACATTTTTACTCTAGTGAAGATGAACATCTATTACTTGTTGGCATTTATTCTTTTGTGATTTGCCTATTTAAGTACCATTTTTTTCTATTGTAGCGAGCCAGTACAGTAGGGCTCTGGGCTCCTACTACTTGGGTTCAAAGTCTAACATTAACCACTTCTTACCTGTATGTCTGCTAGTTCTTACTTCCTTATCTATAGTGAGAAATAACTCTTAACATATATACAAAGCCCTTAACAGGTACCCATTACATTCTTCACCGATATATGCAAAAATGCTCTTAAATAGTTTCTTTCTCAATATTGTATCAATTCCTCCTTAACGACCTAATTTCAGTTTGTCTGGGTGTTTCTCTGTGGAAGAGGAAGAAACTAGAGTAGCTCTTACCAAATATTTTGTTAAATTTTACCATCAATTCCAAATGATTCCATTCCTTTCTTTTGTGGGGTATTTAGCCCTCTTAACCTTCTTATTGGTTAGCACATGCCCACCTATGTTATGTCTCAACAGGAGTATTATTCTCTTTACTTTTTTTGATTTTCAATGAAAATTGTTTTCCTATGCACAGGATCCTACATGTCCACACAGTTGTTTTTCTTCCAATGGTCTTTTAAATGACAACTTTCCACTTTGTGTTTAGTACGCTCCTAAGGATGCTCTGCCTGGGGAGCCCACAGAAAAAAGAGAAATCTTAACTGAACATGACCATCAGTTTCTGTCTTTTCTTTTTAGAATCATCTTAACAAAATTTGCAAAGGATATTGTGAAATATTTGTAACATTACAACAAAACTGAACATATGCAAGGTGCCTGGATAACATCACAGACCTGGCAAACAATAAACTTTTGAGCACCTGAGCCCAAGGGATGTGCTAGGACCTGTGGGGTACAGCTCCTGAAACCAATGATGTAACTTCGGAGCAGGCCCTTGGGGATTAGAAAGAATCTGACAGCAGCTCTAACTCTGTCATTGGAAGAGTCTTCGTATCTGGGACGAGACTTAGAACTCTAACAAGTCTCTTAACATCTAAGCTGGGCTCTTTCTCACCCTAAGCCCACCACCATCCCCATGGAAATTCTAGGCTATTCTATAGGTTAGGCAAGGAAATTAGTAGACCTTTCCTTGATGTCACCCTGACCAAGATAAAGCTCCTAACCACTTTGTGGTCAAAGGGTTCCAGTTTTATTAACAGAATTTCTCCATTAGCATATATATGGCTTTCAGCACTAAGAGTCTGGCCACACCCATGTTTCTCTTATGGACAGAACCCTCTTACTTCAAAAGAAAATCAACAGGAATGTACACTTTCTTCCTGCCCTTTGTCTGTTGCTCCTCCCACTGGGAACATTCTTCCCTAACCTACCCACTGCACTTAGTCCTACTCCTTCAGCCCCCCCCCCCCCACGTCTTCAACTGCAGTTGAGTTGGGTACTTAAGGTTACATGGCACTCACAACAGTGCCCCTGCCTGTTTGGCTGCCTGGTCCATTAGACTATAGACTTGCTTTCCCTTGTATCCCTACTCCCTGGCACGCAGAAGGTACTCAAAATGTAACTGTTAGATAAATCAACTAATACTTTGTCTTCTCAAGCCATCTAACTTCTGGCCTGCCCTGGGCTTAACAAATCATTGATGAAATCATTTCCCCCCCCTTTCTTGCTGCCCTGTCACTGTTCTTTACTGGCTCAGTAAAATTTTTTACGTTCCTGAGACAAAGCTCCTCAGGCTGTCCACACCATCCCCGCAACCTTGCGCACTGACAATCAAATGCAGTGACAAGAGTCTGGGTCGCATAAAAAAATAAAAAAAAAAAGAGTCTGGGTCACTTTTCATGATATTCCCATTAAAAAAAATGGTTTCAATGTAACAATCTCATTTTTTCATATTTCCTGAGTATTACTAATGGCAAGAGAAAAGCTGGAAGTAATGATTCTCCTGTTCTGATCAGTCATAGGGAAGCTTTTTAAGGGGCAATTTACATTAGCACTGGGAAATACTCCACCACCCAAGTCAGACTGACTCACAAATCCTAGCAGTTTACAACCTTAATGAAGTCTTGCTCCAAAATAAACTCTTTTGACTTAACAAAGATAAAAACGTTAAGTATTTACAATATTCATTCACAAGCTACTTTACAGTGTGGACTCTCTGATGGCGCAGGAGGACTGATCTGTGCCTGAATGCCTTCCCACATTCATTACATATGTAAGTTTCATCCCCAGAATGAATTCTCTGATGCTGAACAAGAGCTGAGCTCCTTTTGAAGGTTTTGCCACATTCATTACACTGATAAGGTTCCTCTCCACTATGGATTCTCTGGTGTCTAATAAGGTTTGAACTCAAACTGAAAGCTTTTCCACATTCACTACATTCATAGGGTTTCTCTCCACTATGTATTCTCTGATGGGTAATCAGCTCTGAGCTCTGCCTGAAAGCTTTTCCACATTCGTTACATTCATAGGGTCTCTCTCCTGTGTGAATTCGCTGATGTCTAATAAGTTTTGAGCTCTGGCTAAAGGTTTTCCCACACTCATTACATTCATAAGGTTTCTCACCAGTGTGAATTCTTTGATGTATAATGAGATAGGAACTTTGGCTGAATGCTTTGCCACACTCATTACATTTACAAGCTTTCTCACCAGTGTGGATTTTCCGATGTCTAATGAGGGCTGAACTCTGATTGAAAGCTTTCCCACATTCACTACATTCATATGCTTTTTCACCACTATGAATTCTCTGATGAATAATAAGATATGACCTCAAACTAAAGGCCTTCCCACACTGGTTACACTTATATGGTTTTTCTCCAGTATGGATTCTCTGATGTTGTGTTAGAGAGGAATACTGCTTAAAGCTGTGCTCACATACATCACATCTATAAGGTCTCTCTTCTGGAGGAAGCTTCTGACATCTCATAGACTTTGTACTAGTTAGAATCAAGCATCTTGTAGGGTCAGCATCCTGGTCTCTCTGTCCTAGAGATTTGTGTGTGAAGATCACCTGACTACAACTGCTCACTTGGGAAGGGGATCTTCTTAATATCTCCCTTGTAGCACTTCCTTGCTTCCGCTCTAAACTGCTTTCATGTCCACTAACTCTTCCAAATGAAGTTTCCCCAGGGAGACCCTGTGATTTTTCTCCTGAAATGTCCTCCTTTGTTGCGGTTTCATTGTTCTCACAAGCTGAAATGACAAATAGCAAAAAACCAGATTTTACATGTCTCCAGTCACTCTCAATACTCACTTTCTACATGACAGAAACAAGAAGCTTCTACCTACCAAAACATCACTGTCCTCCTGCATCTTATAACTGGTCAAACTAGGGTCTCTCTTTCCTAATGTTAAAGCCTACATCTACACTTTGAATTTCACATTTTCCTGCCTCCTTTGAGACATCAATTGATCAATTACTCACTAACTCCTTCCTATTACTTTCAACCTCTCTTTCCACTTTTTTCTTTGTAGATTTAATTTTGAATTTTTTCCCCTCCACTGACTCTTGTTCTTCAGCATTTAAACAAGCTCAAGTCTCTCATCTTTTAAAATAAAGCTCCCCTTGCCCACACATTTCCCTTAAGCAACCTCCCTTCACTCTCATAAAGTTTCTTGAAAAGGGTTGTCTGGATTGGTTTGTACACTCATATTAATCTTAAATTTAAAAAAAGGGGGAGTTGTCTGTACTCATCCCCATTCTGCAAATCTGGTTTCTATCTTATCCTTCCCCTTAATCGTTGCCACATCCACTGACATTACTCTCATCCAAGTCACCAACTTCATAGCTGTTTTATCTCATGGGTACTTTCTAGATCTTATTTAGCCGACCTCTCCACAGCTCTGACACTGAGGATCACACATTCCTTTTAGAGACATTCTCTTCTAGGTCGTCATAGCCTGATTTCTGTGGCAGTTTCTTCTTAAGATTCTAAGGCTAGTCACTCAAACACTGTTCCCCCAGATACTGTTCTAGGCTCATACATATCCTCACTCTACAAACTGTCCAGGCTTCATTACTATTGTAGGCTAATGTCTCCCCATATCCTTAATTCTATCCCAATACTATTAAGTTCCAGACTCTCACATCCAGTCTTTTATATCCAACTTGTGAACATTTCACATGCATAGAAATGTCCCAAACTAAACACATCATCAGAGGTATTGCCTTTCCCCACTTACATTTACATTAAACAGATTGTTCAAGACCGATACCTGAGTAGAGTATCAATTTCAACTCCTCTTCCTCATGCTCCATTTTAAATCATTACCAAAAACTGCAATGCAGTTCAAATGCTGGTGAACAGAAGTCGGCTTTTATCTTCCCCACCTCCATCCTAACACTGATTTACTCACCATGGCCACTTGGATTACAGTAGTTTTGGACAAGATTTTACTCTTGCCTTCCTCAACTCCATTCTCTTTTGTAGCTAAGTTTTAAACCACACATCCAACTATGTCATTCCCTTGTCCAAAATCCCTCAATTGTACCACATTGCACCCAAGAGACCGTACCAATGAATTAGTAGGACACCCAGGTTTTCACACTTTAGATCTCATTTTCCTCTCTGGTTCATCTCTAACCACTCCTCCCCCATCAATTCTCCATTCAAGTCAAATGGAACTACGTGCAGTCTCCAGAGTTACATTCTCTCACCTTCAGGACTTTGTGGTCTTCACTTGAGTTACTCTTCATCCCATCTATTTACCTGACTTTTTCCTACTCATAATTCAAGTCTTAGCTTAGCTATCTCTTCTAGAAAGTGTTCCTGGAACTTCGAAGATTGGCTTCAGTCCCCTTATATGTGCTCCCATAGTACCCAGTTCCTACTTTCATTCTATAACTTACCACACTATATTGCGACTACCTTTTTGCTTGTCTATCACCTAATTATACCTGAAAGCTCCTTGAACATAGATACCCAGTACCAACCACTGTAGTAGACATATATTAGCACCCTATAAAGTTATTACGAAATGATAGAATAAATCACTAAACAACAGGGAAGTGACATGAGGGCTGACTGCAGTTCATGAGGGTTGCTAAATACAAAGTAAACACCTCTGGTTTAGAATAAAGCGGATGCTCACATGTGGGGCATGTTTATAAAATGCAATTAATTCTGCATCCTTAAAAACAGAAGTGTTAACTGATAAAGTTCCCAAACAAAGTTGTTCCTTACCACTTTTTGGGGAAAGGCAAGGTTTCCAGGATTTCAGCTGTGCCCTTAAAGGCTGCAGTTGGATGTTTGCCAACTCTTGGGATACACCACAGTATGTTAAATCCTTCCTCGGCACTGCTGTTCCATGTAGACTAGCTGGGACCTGAAATCGATGAAATATGATTAGTTTTGTGAGAAAATCCCTAGCAAAACTAAAAGTCTCAAAGAGGGGCTCGGTGCCTGTAGCACAGTGGTTGTGGCGCCAGCCACCCACACCGAGGCTGGTGAGTTTAAACCCAGCCCCGGCCAGCTAAACAATGACAACTGCAACAAAAAAGTCAGGCATTGTGGCAGGCGCCTGTGGTCCCTGCTACTAGGGAGGCTTAGGCAAGAGAATTGCTTAAGCCCAAGTGTTGGAGGTTGCTGTGAGCTGTGACGCCACAGCACTTTACCCAGGGCAACTTAGTGAGACTCTGCCTCAAAAAAAGTCCCAAAGAGGTCAACAAGGACATCCTCAGAAATGAAGGATAGGAAAAAAAGACCATTTAAGGTTACAAACAGGTATGGTCCTATCAGTCACTTCAGGATTAGGGTTCAGAAGAAACAAACAAATCTTCACCCTGTTAGCAAGATACCACATGCTCCAATCTGCAAATTCCTTTCCTATAACACATCATTTCTCTCTGCTCCCACCTGCGGCCCTGGATCATCAAACTCCCTCTCCAAATCCTCCAAAAGGGTCACAGCTTCCTCTCCACTTTGTGGATTACGCTGCTGCACCCAGATCTGCAGTTCCTCAGGCAGGATGCTCAGGAACTGTTCCAGGATCAGTAGTTCTAGGATCTGCTCCTTTGTGTGCAACTCTGGCATTAGCCACTGATAGCAAAGCTCCTGGAGTCGGCCCAGAGCTTCCCGGGGCCCAGGAGTCTCCTGGTAGCAAAACTTTCTGAATTGCTGGCGAAATAATTCTTGGCAGGATTGGGTACTCCCATTCTGCTTGAATTTTGGATCCCAGGAAACGCCCTCTTCTATTTTCACTAGTATTAGGTTATGTTCCTGAAGATCTTCGGTTGAAACGGCTGTGGATTCAACAGCCATTCTGGGTTACAGCAGCTTAGCCAAAAGCTTTTCTGTGCTTCAGAAGTGTGAGTAATCTCTTCTTTCCTGAAGATATACATTAAAAAAACAAACAAAACAAACAAACACACACACACACACAAAAACACTGTTAACTTATAGCAGTGAAAACAATCTCCAAGAACTGGTAATAAGATCAGTCACTCCAGTAACACAATGAAAGAGAGCACATTTGAGGTTATAATTAAATCAAATAGTAATCAAGTGAAAAACTAAAAATCATTTACCTTATTTGGTGTCTCCCATTATGTAGAATTCCTACTGCTACTGTTAGAAAAAGAAATTAGAAGGGTACAATATTAGCATCAATCTAGTGATAAAATCATTCCCTTTTCAATTCTTTCAATCCGATTGCATTAAGGAGAAAAACTTCAGTCTTTAGCATGTATGTAAAACCTGAAGAACTCCCTTTTATTTACTTATTTTTGTAGAGAAAGGATCTCACTCTGTACCCAGGGTGGAGTATAGTGGCACTGTCATGGCTCACTGTAACCTCAAACTTCTGGCCTCCAGCAATTTTCCTGCTTTCTCTTCCCAAAGCAGTGGGATTAAAGGCATGAGCTATATCAAAATATAGGTTTCAGATCGGTGCCTGTGGCTCAAGTGGCTAAGGCGCCAGCCACATACACCTAAGGTGGCGGGTTCGAATCCCCAGCCCGGGCCCGCCAAACAACAATGATGGCTGCAACCAAAAAATGGCCAGACGTTGTGGCAGGCGCCTGTAGTCCCAGCTACTTGGGAGGCTGAGGCAGGAGACTCGCTTGAGCCCAGGAGTTGGAGGTCGCTGTGAGCGTGATGCCATGGCACTCTACCCAGGGGGATAGCTTGAGGCTCCGTCTCAAAAAAAAAAAAAAAAAAATAGGTTTCATACTTCCAAGGATAACAATATTTAGGCAGAATTTAATAATGCTATTTTAAATATTTATTTTCAGTCACCTTTTATCAACAGCAAGTAATGTTGATTTTCATTTAAGGGAGTAATAAAATTCACATTAAACATGAGCTATTTAAATAAAAACATTGTGGGATATTTGCCATTTGATCACATTCAGTGTTCACCCAATTCCATCCACAAACTGAGGCACTTTACTATGGGAATCTGTCCCCAGCCGACCATTAGGTTAAGGATTTTACTTGTGAATAAATGAGTCTACGGAGGAATTAACCAAGAAGTTTATTTATAAAACGCTCACCCATGTTTTCAAAAACAAGTTAGACTTCGTTAAGCACAACAGAAGCAAAAAGGTCAATTTCAGCTCTCAAAAAGCTTAGAATATCCTGGGAGTTAAAATTTAAGTGGAATATGGCAACAAATAACTCATGTATTAAATGTTGTGATACAAACCAAAATGTATTAAATTTTGTGATACAGACCAAACACGAACTGATTTTAGGGTGGGAGGGTATCAATAGTCTATGTTCTTGAAGGCACATGAGTAAAATTTAACGCCACGGCACTACGGTTAACTTAAAAGGTTAATTTACGCTACAAATCTGTGCTTCATTAACCAGCCCCGCTGCATTTAGTAGCCTTTCTATTTTCATAAGCGTGGTTGAATCACAGGATTTGTGAAGTCACGGGAGTGACGGAGGAACTACGCCTTCCCAGGGGAAAGCAAGGGCCTGAGTGCTGGCTTCCGCCAAAGGGCCGCGACCCAGAGATGGGCAGGCCCGGGAGCCGGGCTCCTCTACCCCGCCCCGCCGCCGGCCGCGCGACCTCTCCACCCTCCCGCCTCCTGGGTGCCCGCGTCTCTCACCACGAAGCCCAGGAGCAGCCAGCCACCAAACAGCTGACCCCGAGCGGCGAGCCACAAAGACCGGAAGTCCCGCGATCTTCCGCTCTCGTGCCCTCTCGAACCCGTGTCCGCCCACCCCTTGCTCTCAGGCAGCCAATCAGCGCTTGAGTTCGAGCCTCCCTACCGCGCCTTCCCGCGGTGGCCGCGCGCGGCGAAACCGCAAAGCTCAAGCCCGGGAGGCCGTGTGGCCTGCGGCTCCCGGAGGGCACCGCCACCGCCCAGCTTTTTGGGTGTAGTGTCATTCCTGCCTGTTTAAACAACCAATTTCCACGAAAAATATTCAGGTTTTCTTGTAGTTCCAGTTCTCTTGTCAGCATCTTCGACAAAAGTAAATGCACGGACAGACAGGCTGGACAAAGGTTAGCAGTGACTTAGATTGCTTTTCTCTGCCTAGCATTTGAGAACGGTTTTGTACAGTAATTAACTTGTCCCAGTTTTACAGCCCTAAACATTATCCGAAGTCAGGCAGCTAGTGGCCAGGGACCCTGAAGTCCCCATAGTTACAAGATATTATCCTGTCCCAGATTCCGGACCTCTGAGGCAGGGGTTTCCTGTTTTTTACAGGGACCTAGCTGGCATCAAGTCTTACTATGCTTTCCTTTGGCTATTAATAGACGCAAAGTAATGCCTAAGGTTTTAACTTAGTGATCTTCCTCATGTTTATTGACTGCGATAAGTGGCTTTTCTCGTTTTTAAATTTTTATTATTTATTTAATTCTTTTTAGAGACAGAGTCTGAGTGCTGTGGCATCACAGCTCACAACAACCTCCAACTCCTGGGCTTAGGCGATTCTCTTGCCTCAGCCTCCCGAGTAGCTGGGACTACAGGCGCCTGCCACAATGCCCGGCTATTTTTTGTTGGAGTTTGGCTGGGGCCTGATTGGAACCCACCACCCTTGGTATATGGGGCCGGCGCCCTACTCACTGAGCCATAGGCACCGCCCTCACTTTTCTCGTTTTTTAAAATCAACGTTAGCATTTCTTTGTTGTGAGAAGCTTTTACTTGTTAAGGGTATCAACTCGTATATTACAAAATATTTCCCCATGTATTTGTATTTAATTATTTTTTAAAGTGTCAGTACATAAGATACTAAGGCAATATGTAAATAGAAGCAAGTTCTCCTTTGTGACTAAGACTTAAACACGGTAGAATTTCCATATTGTCCACTTCCCTACCTTGACCAGCTCCCTATATTGACCATTTCCTTAAGGTGAGCTAATTTTCATAGATCAGACATGCACCAGGTGTATCAGTACCGTAGGCCTAGTTCCTTTATGTTGACCACTTTCGTGTGTTGACCAGTTTGTTACAGTCCCTTGAGTGGTCAACAAGTTCTGTATTTGGAAAAATATGTTCATTACCATTTAGAGTTATTGGTGTTCTTAATCATTATGAAATGACTACAGCAATTTTACAAAGCAAGAAAACAAATATTACTCTTTTTCAGTTGCCTATTGCTGCAGTATAAACCACTCCAAGACATAGTGTCTAAAAACAGCAGATGTTTTATTACAATTCTGTGGCCAGGAATTCAGGCAGGGCTTAGCAGTGATACCTAGTCCCTTTTTTGATGAGGTGTCAGCTATTGAGGCTGAGCTGGATCTGGAAAGTACAAGATGGCTTTACTCTCATTGCTGAGGTCTTGGTGCTACTTGGCTGGAGCTACTTGATCTCCTCCATAAAGCCTTTCTCCATTCAGGAGGTTAGCCTAAGCTTCCTTCCTGGCTTCCAAAAGAGTGAAGGAGGAGAGGTAAGGCTAGTTCTCTCCCAGTGGAGATCAGGAGCTGGCATTATATTTCTTCTGCAGTAGTTCACTGAAAGAATTAGATTGGTGGAAAGGGGAAATAGACTCCCATCTGTTAATGGGAGGAGCAGCTTGATCATAGGAGGAAATTCTGGCAGTTATTTTTGCATCTAGCTTACCACACCTTATATTGAGAAGCCAAGTATTTAGTAATAAAACTGTTGAAAAAGAGAAGGTATATCCACTGCAGTAGTAGAAGCCTTGTTAAATGTCCTTATTGTTTAAGCCCCATTTTAAAAAATCCTACATAACTAGATGCATCAAGGTAAAATCATTCCCAGTGTTAGTTAATTCAGTGTCATGACAGTATTGTCAGGTTCTTTCCTTCTTATTGTTCTACAATCTTTTTTTTTTTTTGAGACAGAGTCTCACTATGTCACCCTCAGTAGAGTGTCATGATGTCACAGCTCATAGCAACTTCAAACTCTTGGGCTTAAGCAATTCTCTTGCTTCAGCCTCCCAAGTAGCTGGGACTATAGGTGCCTGCCACAACGCCCAGCTATATTTTTTGTTGTTGTTGCAGTTGTCATTGTTGATTTTAGCTGGCCTGGGCCAGGTTTGAACCCTCCAGCTTTGGTGCATGTGGCCGGTGCTGTAACCACTGTGTTTACAGGCGCCATGCCTTGTTCTACAATCTTTAAATGTGTTGGTTTGTATTGTAGTCTGGCTTCCCTTATGGTCCTAAAATGATTCTCTCAGTTCCATTGTTACTGATGATGGCCGGAAGGAAAGAAAAGGAACGCCCTTATTTTCTGCCCCCTTTTAAGGCTAGTAAAATCCTCGTTCCTTAGCAGATTTTCCTCTCATGTCCTATTGGTTAAAATTGCTTCAAAGGGCCTGTATAATCAATGACGGGGATAGTGGGGGTCTCTGTGGTGAGGCCTCTGTGGTGGGCTGAGGTCAATTGAAATTTGACCAGGACCCAAGAAGGGGGCCAGACTCTCCTAAAAGACACAGAAACTCTGGGGAGGTTGTATGAAATTGGGATTATGTTAAAAAGGCAGAAAAAGGAGATAAATAGATGAATGTTAATGTGTGCAACTGTAGTAACTACTTTGATAGGTACTCTGATTCCCCTATATACGTAAAAGACATGCTAGGAAAAAAAATGCAGATTCCTATTCCTTAGAAGATGGTACATATATTTTAAATATAAATAAATTACTTAGTTGCAAGAGATGTAGGCCAGAGATTTAGAGCCAATTTCTAGAAATTGATTTTTCTTTTTGAGACAGAGTCTCAATTTGTCTCCCTCAATAGAGAGCTGTGGCATCACAGCTCACAGTAGCCTCAAAATCTTGGGCTTGAGATATCCTCTTGCCTCATTCTCCAAAGTAGCTGAGACTACAGGCACCTACTACGATGCCTGGCTATTTCTTGAACTTTTGAGCTTACACAGTCCTCCCTCCTCAGCCTCCCAGAGTGCTAGGATTATAGGCATGAGCCACTGTGTCTGGTCTAGAACTTGATTTAAAGTTCCAATACGATAGCAAATGATTATCCCTAGAGTCTTAGCCAATACTTTTCATTTATACAGCTTATTTAACATTCAATATTCTCAATTATATCAAAACCCTCAAAGATCTCATTCCCTCTATCTCCACCCTTCCCATCTCATACACATCAGGTCTGCTTTAATGTGCAAATATTTGTCTCATAAATGACTGAATCGAGGGTGAGAAAATATGACTTTTTGTTTTTTCCCTTTCAGATGCTCTTAATTTTTACTTTTTTAAATGATATATATGAATTGTTAGATAATGTCTGCCCAGAGCATTAGGCATTACTGGTGATTGGTGAGTAGGGTTGTCCATTTCTTACAGTGAAGTCCAACAGCTTGAATTACTGTGTTATCAACAATGCTCTACTTCATGGTATTCATCAAATGAGATAAACCCATTTGAAGTCTTGTCACTATAAACTGCTATTCAGTAATTAAGGAAGGATAGAGAAAATGGCTTCTGATGGAGAGCAATCATTTCCTCATTTAGTAGGTACTATGAAACATTACTGTACGTGGAACACGGAGACCCAAGGTGTGGGATTTAAACAAAATAAAAGATATGTTCTCTCACCTCACTTACCACTGTAATTCCTTGAGTGTAAACTCAGTGGGGCAAGGGTTTTGCTTTCCATTGTTGTTTCTCTAGTATGGCCTAGTATTGTATGGTTATTTGGATAATCAAATATATACATACATACATATACACACAAGACAGAGTACTTGATGTTGGTGCTGAAACTAGTAAGTATTCAAAGGGTTTGAAGTAGCATATACAAATAGGACCATTTTTAATAAAATGCTTAGACTGTGGTAACATAAGCTCAGGATTTGTTTTATGCTGACAGACAAGGAGACAATTGCCTTTAAAAGAAGAGTTGATTACTTATAGTTCCCCAGAGCATGGTATACGATGCTGGACCATTTGAAGGGAGAAGCAGAGAGAGGGAGATAGAGAGAGGTCGGAACTGGGTCTAAGCCTTTATTACCATAGTGGCCGGAAGTAGCTGAGTGAGGACATCTGTCCAGGAAGCAAAGCATACATGTTGAAGCTAGTGGTCGTGATAAGATTTCTGAGCGCCCAAGAAAACACTGGGGTGGTGGAAGTATATACATGTAAGCTTGAGCCTTCAGCACTGGCCAGTAACAGCAATATACCAAATTCTCAATTACAGAGCATCAAGAATAATTACTATACTATTGTATTTTATCACCATTACCATGATGTCACTAATTTAGCACTGTAGTATTCAGAGACAGATAATAGATGTATTAACAGAACAGGACAGTGCTTATCTGTAGTATCCAGGATAGCAAACAAAGGCCTTACTTACTAAGTTCTTCCTCTTTGCTCCTGATTGTCAAAGAAAGCCCTTGAGATTGCTCATGATACTCCTTTTTATATTTAATATGGATAGAAGAGAACTAAAGCTGCAGGTGGGCTCTTAGCATTGTCTTACTTTTTTCTTCCTTTTTTTAGGTTAACCATAATGACAAATCATTTGACAGGGTTCCCACCCCAGCTCTCGCTCCTGTCAGCCACTTCAGAAAGATCTTCCCCTAGGATTCTGTTCTGCTTTGGAGGTAATTCAACAACGATACCAAGACAAACTCTAAGGTCTACACACATGGCAATGTCTTTCAAAATGCATGATGGAGTGTGAGTAATGAAAAGAGCAACTCAGCTGATGAAGCCGACTGAAACATT